TCTTAAAACACTCTCCCCTCACTCACTCCCTTCCAGCTACACTAGCTTCCTTGCTGTTCCCCACCCTCCTGCCCATATGCCTAGTGCCTTGGGGCCTCTCTTCCCAATGTCCTTCCCCCAGGGAACCATACTCCAAACTTTCCTTCAGGTCTCAACTTGCTGACCATCTCATAGAAAAGACCATCCCCATAAAGGAGGATTCTCTACCATCCCCACCATCCTTCCCAGTCTACCTTGTCTTGCCATATCTTCCCTCTGAGCTCTTACCACCCACTGACATGCCTTGTGTGTTTACCGGCATCTCCTCCACCAGGTCTCCCCCACTGCAATACAAGCTGCCATGTGCCAGGACCTTTGCTTTCCTATCCTTTCTCTAAGAATACTGCATATCCTCAGGGTTAATGCAGGACCTGGCACACAGGGGGCACTTGGTAAAGATCTGCATTTGATGAATGAATGAATAAAAAGTATTTGCATTAAATGTGAGCTGTAGCCCTACAGGGTTAAAAATTGTCAACATCTTCTAAGAGCTTTCCTGTCTTAGAACCCTGGGGGAAGGGGCCAGGGCCAGGCTGAGAGAAGGGAATGTGTGAAGCAGCAGAGAAAAAGTCAGATTAACGGGTCACTTTCTCAGGGGTTCCCAGCCCTTCACCAGCAGAGCAGGGTCAACCTCCCCTCCTTCCTCCCACACCCTGAAAAAATAGAAAAGAGCTGAAGATTGTAAATGACAAGGCAAAGACTGCTAAAGAAAACAGGGGCCTAGACAGTCAGAATAGAAAGATATGCAAAGAGAAAAACTTACCTGAGGGCAGGAAAGGTAGAAGTCACAGATCCCAAATCAGGATCAGTACAGAATGACGACCCACTCAAAGGTAGTGACACAGGAAGGACAAGACACACCGCACGTGTGCGAGAGAGAAAATGCCCACCCCAGGGATGGTGGGTGCAGTAATGTGATGTCACCATTGTCAATGGAGGCAGTGGAATGGGGGGAAGTGATAAAAAGAACCATCATCTTGACAACTAATATTTCAGAGCACTTTACAGTTTAGAAAGTATCAACACAATGTGCCTTTACNTGGGGGGAAGTGATAAAAAGAACCATCATCTTGACAACTAATATTTCAGATACTAATACTTTCAGTTTAGAAAGTATCAACACAATGTGCCTTTATTGATTCCCATAAAGACACTGAGGTGGGCAGTATAAATCTACAGGTAAGGAAACTGAGGCTCAGAAAGGTCAAGGGATTTCTTGTCCAAGATTACACAGCGCACAAGTTGCAGACATGGGACTTCAGGGGATTTAAGGCTCCAAGGACTCTCCACTCTTTAACCAACCCCTCAAGTGAGCGAGTGCCACCTTGAGTCCCCTCCCGATGTGATTAACAGGACTTTGTCCATGCTACGCTAATGACCATTTATTCAAAAGCAGAAGCTCCTCCTGGATTCCTCCAGGGATTTATTCTATGATCTCTTGACTTGGGAAGGAATTGGGTCTTCTTGGAGTGCTCAAACATGGAAGACACCAAAGAGAAGTCAAACTCTGGCCTTTAAAATCGTTGCCTCGGAGCTCTGCAAAAGCACAGCCAACAGCTGCAAAATAACTGAACAAAACTGATACAGAAAGCATTTTATGTGAAAATGCACCCTCTGCAAAAACTTGCTCTAAAGGCCCATATTTTCAATAAGTTCCGTCAAAATGTTATTACCATAGCTTTTCAGAGAAACTGGGTTTCAGAAAATCCATGACAGGTTCACTGGATTTATCAGAACTGCATTCTCACATGAAAAAGTCTCACATGCTATGAAAAAAGAAAAAACCCTCCACAGTCATAAATTCATAGAGATGCTGTTCTGCTTTTGTTACCAGCTGGAAGATGCAAAATTAAAGAGGAATAAAAGAGACTAGCCCTGGGGTTTCAAAAGGTCCAAAGCTGACCTGGCCAGTGTCACTCAGTTGGATGGGCATCATCCCATGCACCGAGAGGTTGCTGGTTCGATTCTCGGTCAGGGTATATGCCTGGGTTGTGGGCTCGATCCCCAGTAGGGGGCGTGCAGGAGGCAGCCAACTGATGTTCCACTCTCACATTCATGTTTCTCTTTCTCTCTCCTCTCTTCCTCTCTCTCTAAAAATCAATAAAAAAATCTTTTTTTAAAAATGGTCCAAAGCTGAGCCCCTCCAGACTTGGCAAGGAGAAGGGAGGGAGAGAAAAGCTGCTTTCCTGGAAGTGCTGTGGAGCACCCAGGTCCTGGGCGTGGTTAGTAAGAACAGGCACATGGCTGCCTGAGAAAGCAATGAGGGGCAGAGACATTTCTAATGGTCTAAATCAACACCTCAAATTGCACTGGAACCAGATGACAAGTCAAGGCTGACTGCCCAGCACTGGCCCGGGACACTCCCTGGACAGCAAACACATCTTGGCTCTGGGTGCCAGCCGGTAGTGTGGGAGGTCCCATTTCCTCCATGGACGCCTGGGAAGGGGAGGCGGCAGGTGACTGGGCTCTGGGTCCTGCATCTGTCTCATACAAGGACAGGAGTAACCTGCAGCTCCAGAGAAGTCCACCTCGGACAGGGCCGGGGTGCCTCTCTGGATGTGGGCACTAACACCCACTGGCCATTTTCTCAAGCCGCTTCCTCCCTTCTGCACAACGTCACCTCCATCTATTTAGATTGAGCATTTGCCAGCTTGCCTCCATCCAGCCAGATGTTGCCTTTCAAGGATTGCGTATTTCTGTAATTATTTCCAGGAGAAGCAAACTCTTGAGCCACTGGGGTTTGCCATGGAATTCATTTTTTCCCACAGAGGGGTGTGGGTGCACCGCTGCCCCCTGCTTTCAGTGGGTACACAGTGGGGTGGGCCATCTGAAGCCCTGCAGTGAATGAAACCTATTATGAAATTAACTCCTTGACATCAGTGAAGCGTTAATTCACCTACCAGGCTTTCCTGTTTGGGGTGGCTTTTCTTGAACCCCATATTCCTTTGAAAGGAGCTTTACTCTTGAGGGAGAAAAGAGTTTCAAACACACTCCCATTAGTCCAAACTTGCAAAAACAGTATCATTTTCTTAGCAGGAGAATCTTAACCTAAATGCTTCCAGGAAACCAGCATGTTGTCCTGGGCCCCAAAGAGAGGCGTGTCAGCCTGGGCGAGGAGGCCCAGCGTGAGTCAGGGAAGGTGGTCTGGCCAAGACCACCTCCGTGCTTGCCACTGAGGAGACAGACCCCTTGTCTATAGCTGGCAATCAAGGTTCCTTAACAGTCACTTTCCAAAGACTCCCCTGACATCAAGTTGCTGGCAGGTGCTGTGGAAAGTACAGACTCCACATGAAAGCAAAAGATCCCATAGTGGCCTTTTCTGACATCATTCGAACCACCAACTCCAATTTCTTGAGAAGATTCAGAAAAGTGTCTGGCCCTTAGATTATTCATTTGAAATAATGCATGCCTCCTGCCCACTTGCCTTGTCAAAATATTTGAGCCTGTAGCCCTCAAGCCCTGCATAAAAGACTGAGAAATACCTTCCTGATAGTTGGGATAGGAAAAAACAAAAGGCCCCTATGAGAAATATAATCTAAGGCAGGAAGAAAACAGAGGTCAGAGCAGCTGGAGCCTTTAAACTTCTCACCTCAATGCCACTGGGTACTTAACTTGTCAAACACTTCCCAAGCACCTACTATGCATAAGTCACCTTCAAGACGGTGTGGAGAACACAGCAAGGGTACCAGTTAGGTTCAGTTCAGCTGCATATGTTGGAAAACACAAAGTAACTTTGGCTTAAACAATAAGACAGAAGTGTGGAGGTTAGCAGTCTAGGGCTGGTATCATGGCTCCATGGCCACTGGGATTCCAGCCTCCTGCTTTGTGCTCCACTTACTTAGAGCATGACTTCCATCTTCACAGTTACCTCATGACCCAAGAAGGCTGCTGGATTTCAGACATTGTGTCTGTGTTCCAAGCAGTAGGTAGGAAGACAGAGGAAAAGCAAAAGGGGCACATTGTCCATACAAGTCAGTTCCTGGAACATTCCCATAAGCCCACACATAACACTCACCTTTCATTTACTAGAGCTTAAGTCACTGGCCCCTATCCAGGTGAAAGAGAGCCTGAGATATAGAGTCTCTTATCTTTGCACATTGCTACACCCTCAAAAAAAAATCAGGCTTTTGGTTACTGAGGAAGAAGATATGAAATTAGCAATCTTGCCAACAGAATGCACAAAGGACAATTTAAGGATGAGCCAATTTGGATTCTACCTAAGTTCAGAAGAGCTGGTAGTAGAAAAAAGAAAAAGCTTTGAGGCATGAAGGCTCAAATGACATTATTCTTCAGGGATAACTAAAAACTTGATTAAGTTGAAGGTGTTCTGAACAAGTTATAACACCCATTTCCCCAAACTATCCACCTTTGAATTGAACATATTTCATGAAACAAAGCGGGTAAGAAAATTTCTTAGACCTCCTAAGAACAATGGAACTGTGGCTCCATCGGAATCACCTGGGAGCTTTTTAAAACTACAAATCCCCACCCTGGCCAGTGTGGGTTAGTGGTTGGAACGCCAGCCCATGCACCAATAGGTTGCTGGTTCGATCCCTAGTCGGGGTGCATGCCTGGGTTGCCCATTTGCTTTTTCAGAGAGAGTGGAAGGGGGAGAGAGAGAGAAACATCGATGAGAGACACATCAACTGGCCGCCTCGTGCACCACACACACCTGACCCCCCTTTGGGGTCAGGGATCCAGCCTGCAACTGAGGCACGTGCCCTTGGTCAGAATCAAACCCAGGATCCCTCAGTCCGCGGGCCAACGTTCTAACCACTGAGCCAAATTGCCTAGGGTGCCAATCGGTATTTCACTCTTACATGGATGTTTCTCTCTCTCTCTCTCCCTTCCTCTCTAAATATCAATAAAAATCTAAACATAAATAAAAAGAATAAAAGCCATTGGATTAAATATTCATTATTCTTAAAAGTAATTCCCACACACATACAAAATTAACTTACACTCACAAGAGAGAACTTTACCCTAGGTCAACGATCTTCAATAGAAAGATTCCATACCCTCTGCTCTTAACAGAAAACCAAGAGATCTCTACTGATTGTCATGAAGGTTCAGCCAATAATGTAAAGTATCCAAACATATACTATACTTAGGATTTTGAGATTAGAATCAATGTTGAACAACAAACAAGAAACTGAATTGAATGCATTTGAAGGAAATAGGACAATTGTTTAAAATATAAAGCCTGTGCACCAAGTAATGAAGTGTTCTCCATTCAAAGTGTCATTCCCTTTGTGTTAATGTTCGAGTGCGTTAAAACAATAGAAGTATGTGCACCTTCACAACTGGGCAAACAACTGCCAGTTCAATGAAACTCAATTTACACTATGACATGGGCCCAGTTTTCCAACAGGCTCAGTTACTACGTGTGAAACAGTCTTCTTTTTCAAACATGCTGTACATTATTTGGCTGCCATGTAGGTTACACTTTAACACAGCCGCTCAGATCTACTCTGGAAGACATATCACTTCTCAGGACCACAGTGTCCGGGGCATGGCAGGTGCACAATAAATGCTGGCTTCCTTTACCCTTTCCTTCTTCCTCCAAATATAATAGGAAAATAACAATACAATGCACACATATAATATCACTAAGACTATTCCTGGGCATTCCATTCACTGTTTTCCTGTCATTATATGGGCACCCAAAATACCCCTTTTAACAGTATCTTTCTTGCATGAAACAACTCCAGTTTTCTATTTAGCATACATATACATGCATACAGGCTATGGGAGGAAAAAACGAAATACACCCAAATATTAACAGCTACACTCATGAGCCACTTAACAATAGGGATACATTCTGAAAAATGCATCAGTAGGCGATTTTGTCGTGTGAACATCACAGAGTGCATTTACACAAACCCAGACGGTATAGCCTGCTACACACCTCGCCTGTGTGGTACAGCCTATTGCTGCTAGGCTACGAGTCTGTACAGCATGACTCTGTACAAAACAACATGAGAGTAAGTCAAGCACGAGAGAAACAATACAACGAAGAGATGCGGCAAACATGAGATGTATACATGAAGCTGCTGTAGGCATAAAATGGCACACTGTTTACAGCAAACATTTTTTATAAGTAGAAAGAGTACACTCCAAATAATGATAACCAGTATAGTATAGTAAACACATAAACCAGTAACATAGTCAGTTATTATCATGATCAAGTATTATGTACTACGCATAATTGTATATGCTCTACTTTTATACAACTGGCTGTGCAGTGGGTTTGTTTACACCAGCATCACCACAAACACGTGAGTAATGCATTGTGCTACAACATTACCATGGCTGCCACGTCACTAGGTTATAGGAATTTTTTAGCTCCATTATAATCTTATGAGACCACCACTGTATATGTGATCCATCGTTGACCAAAAAGTTATATGGCATATGACTATATATCTTGATCACAGAACTGAAAACAGTTTTTAATTTTTATTTTATACTTTCCTGTATTTTCCAAATGTTTTACAATAAGCATCTATTGAGTCAAACCAAGTTTGATACAATGCAGTTCCACTACACACTCACTAGAATAACTAAATGAAGATGACACATAACACCAAATATTGACACTGGAGCCACTGAAACTCATACACTGCTAGGTAGGGCTGGAAACTGGTACAACCACTCTGGAAAACTGTTTCACAGTATTGATCACAGCTCCATATATATAAAGACCCAGCAATTCTGCTCCTAGACATATGCCCCGAGAATCTACATGCATATACAAGAATATACATATTAATAACAGCCAAGAACTATAAACAATCCAAAAGTCCATCAACAATAATCAATTATCGAGAAATACTTATAAAATTAAATATACAATGAGAAATATAGCAATATATTTAGCAATGAGACAGAACAGGTTACTGCTCCATACAAATCTATGGATGAATTTCAGACATAATATTGAATGGGGAAAAAAAAGCCAGACACAAAAGGGTATGTACTATTTGAATATGATTCTTTTTTTTTTTTTTTTTAATATATCTTTATTGATTTCAGAGAAGAAAGGAGAGGGAGAGACAGAAACATCAATGATGAGAGAGTCATTGAACGAGCCCGCAACCAGGGCATGTGCCCTGACCGGGAATAGAACTCCGATCGCCTGGATCCTAGGTCGATGCTCAACCGCTGAGCCACGCCCAGCCGGGCTATGATTCTATTTTTCATGAAGTTCAAGAGCAGTCAAAACTCACCTATGGTGATAGACACAACATGGTGGTTATCTTTACTGAGGAATATAACTGGGAGGAAGCACAAAGAAACTTCTGAAAGATTCTGTACACTTACGATTTCTTTACCTTTCTACCTAAAAAAACACACACACATAGAAAAACTTGGTTTGTCCAGCAGCTCTAACAACTTACTAGCTGTATGGCCTTGGGCAAATTTCTTAACCTCTTTAAGCTTCTATTTCTACATCTTTAAATGGGGATAAAAAACAAAAACGTCAGCAACTTGATGGGAATGTGATAAGAATTAAATTAGGCAATGCAAGTGTTTACTACAATGCCCAGTACCAGGTAAAAGCACAATACATAACAACAGTAGCGGGAAGCGGGGACATCTCCCAAGGTCTCCCTAGGTGCCAGGCTGTGCTCTAAGCTTGAAGCTCTTAATCTTTGATACCATCTCTCCCCATTCCTGTTCTTATCATCACTCAAGGCCAGAAGGCCAGCTGTGACCTGGACATTCACAAGTCTGTGTAGAACACCAACCACAGCATTTATTTCAAGGACAAGGGTGAATCACTAGTTTTGTTGCTGCTGAGGTTTCAAAGAAAGGAAACTGGCAGGAGTCACGCATCAGGATTAATCACAGACTATTGAAAAGAAAAATGATTTCAGCTTCTGAAAGCAGTAGCTGCTTTTGCTCCAAGAGGAGAAAGAATATTTTATTCTCGTGGAATAATTCACTTTAAATTGAGGAGTCATTTGGGAACTGAAAGAGCTCATCTTTCTTCCCTAAGGAAAGAGAAGAGACAAGAAACTCTCTGTTAAAAGTTTTTCATGTTGACTAGCTAAATTTACTGCCCTTTAATGTATTTCGGATTTACATCTCAAATAAATTTTAAAGTACATGCTTGCTGGGTGATTTAAAATGTTGGTCATGAAGCTAGAACTCAGATTACATAAGATTATTTTAGTTAAATTACATACTATACACACTGATAGAAGAGTCTCCAATTTACAATATTAACCTGTAGATTTAGGAATGACTCATGTCTTACAAATTTTTCTTCAATTAAGTTTTAATTTGCTTTCAACTAAGGAAAGATAGACTGCCAGGACTTTAACACAGACCCACCACTTACTAGCTGTTATCACCCTGGGCAAGTTACTTAATTTCTCTATGCCTCAGTTTCCTCAGCTGTAAATTGGGATAATAATTGGGTTTTCATAAAGACTGAATTAATAAATATTAGGTGCTTAAAATAGTATCAAGTACTATTGAGTGCTATATTAGTGCTATTATTAAGTTTATATTTTCCAATGTAGATGCAGAATCTAAAATTACAGTATTTAATCACATATTTTACAGATATAGAATAGACTGTTTAAAAAACAGAGGATGTGTACTAAGATTACATCAAATGAACACAAATATTTAGTTTTATAGGTATACACATACACACAAGCTCTCCCTCCCTCCCTGTCTCTCTGTCTCTAATCTCTCTCTCGTAATTTAAATCACTCTGAAACATAATGTATCAATGACCCACTAAGGATCCATTTTTAAAACGCACAGTGAAAAGCTATATTCAGTTTTTGTATTTCAAAAACCTGCTGGAACCTTTCCCCCGCACAGCTGAGCCGCAAAGTGGATGTTCAAACATGGACTCCTTTCAACCTGTAGGGGAGGCGGCCTACTAAAATTTTATACTTTCCTCCAATTGTGACAGCAAAAAGCTTTTCATTTTGTTCCAAAGGAAATGATCTTACCATTAGCTCAACGATATCATCATTGTCTGAATACAGTGGGCATCCGGTAGCCATTACAGAAGGAATAAATGCTAAAACCCAAGGGTATGAAAGTTAAAAGCAACTCAATGGAAATGTCAGTTACAACATTCTTTCTTTGATCTACAAGAATCAAACTCAGAAAGAGAGAACCCTCGGGCAAAGGAATTATGAAGAGTATCAGCGTAAGAGTAGCACCCTACTTCCCCTTCTCCCACCCTTTCTAATAAAAGGGTGCTTTACTACTCACATGCCTTTGCTTCTCTATGTGGAAGAGAATTATGTTTGAAAATACTACTACATAGAATTCTTTCATTCCACCAATAGGCACGTTCAGACTTTTCTACCAACACTGGCCAAAAATCAGATCAAAAATCCCACCCACTACTGTAAACTGTGGTTCTCCCTATTATCAGAGCAATTTTCTGATTAGTCCAGGTATCAAAGAACCTTATTTCGCTTAAAAAAAAAAAATTTGCTGCTCATTCTATCCTTAACAGACTTTAGGACTTCCAGATACCTCTCCTTTGAAATGACATATACAAACACAGCTCACACACGGAGGTGGCTCCTGTCTTTGCTCTTACCCTTAGTTGTAAGAACCTCAATCAGCTCTATGACCCAGGCCTTGGCACAGTAGCCTGCAGTGTGAGATGGATGATGAATAGAAAGCTGCACACTAGACTGATTCCTAGCAATGAATTAGATTCTGGAAGCTCAAGGAAAAGGGAGGAAACAGCAGCCATATTTTACTTGCAACATAAGTTTCCAGCAGAATCTACTTTCTTGCTGACTTGAGCTGTTTGGTTGGGTTTGGGCACTTCATAAAGTTGCTTTGGATCTTGATGGAAACAGCCATTCATTCCTCAAATGTGTATTTGACTCCACTGTGTGTAAAACACTGTGCCGTGTACCAAGGCAGATAGAAAATTACCTTATTCCACTCCTGGACTTTTTTCCCTCTAAAACTGCTCCTCAAGCTGACATCACACGGTCAAATGGCACGCCCATCCCCTCCCAACCACATTTCTGAGAATGCACATACGGGGCCCAGTTTCCTCTCCTTAAGCCCCTGTACACACTAAGAAAATACCTATTGTTTTCTTTTTATTATAAAGGTAACACATACCGTGATTAGCATAAAATTCAAACAGTCAAGAAGGGCATG